CCAACTTCGAAGTGAGGGTTTTTATCTCTCTCGAACAAGTCATCGTTTGGCCTCCCCTCCTCCTTTACCAACTGCACCCACGGCACGCAAACAATGCACGTCGCGGAAGTCGGTGTGCTGGCATGCGCAACACGTGGCCCAACCATCGGAGTCTGGTGCGTGATATGATGGTGCTGAGCGGTTCACTTGTTCTTCCTGCACTAAATACGCGATGCCGAACACACTCATTGCTCACGCGGTGTTCCCACCAGACATAAGCTAAGCTGCGAATGCAGCGATGACCGAGTGTGACGAGCCCCTTTATGTCTGTCGTCCTGATGGGCCAAGTTTCACAGCCATATAGGAGAGTTGAACGGACAGCTGCTTCATAAACTGTGACCTTCAGGGCGAGAGTAATGTCGCGTCTTCGCCACAGGTGGCGCAGATTGGCAAAACCACCTCAAGTTTTGCTATACGGTTCGTAACCTCATCTTCGATCCGTCAGGCGCTAATGTAGCTGCCCAGGTACTTGAATTCCGGAACGACTTCTAGTAGATCACCACAAAGCGTTAGCGCTAATCTTGGAGTATTTTGCATTTCGATGGTGCAAAGCATAGCCCAAAACGGTTGACATCTATCACTAATCAGTCCAGTGCTGCTTCCCATGTTTGGGAGCTGTCAAAGATTAGGGCAATACCGTCCGCGTACTCTATGTCAAGAAGTCGCTTACTAGGAAGTAACTCCATACCTTCTAGGTCGTGTCCAGCGAACGCTGTTTCCATGACTTCATCAATAGCGAAGTTGAAGAGGAAAAACGACAGCGGGGAACCTTGTCTCACACCGCTGGTGATACTGAAGGGTGGCGACAGTTTGCCATAAACCCTAACTCTGCCCGAACTATGCGCGTACAGCGCTTTGATAATGTTTACATATTTATCAGCCACACCTTTCCTCAGCAGACATTCCCAAAGGGCACTTCGATCGACTGAGTCGAAGGCACCTTTTATGTCAAGAAACACGACAACGGTGGGTCGCCAATAATCAGGGCGGTACTCCAACGATTGACGCAAGGTGAAGATGTGGTCGATGCAGCCCCGACCTCGACGAAATCCGGCTTGCTCTTCACGAATCTGGCTTTCACGGGTGTCAGTCAGTCTGTGGAGAACGGTAGAGGCAAGCAATTTAGAGGCAATCGACTGCAGCATTCCAAACTGGAGCTTCCCTTGACAATTGGGACAATGACGGAGCGGTTCCAGTCTGTCGGGACAGTCTCCTACTCCCAAAGTTTCACTAGCAGTTCGTGTAAACCATGCATTAGAGCAAGTCCCTCGAATTTGAAGTGGTTAGGGGAATTCTATCTACTCCCGCGGCCTTATGCAACTTCAACATCGTGATCTCATGTTCGACTTCTGCGCGTGAGGGCGGATCCAAGGAAACGGCCCAGGGAGAAGGGCGCTCATTGCTTGAAAAAGAAACCGATAACTCAGGTTGGTTAAACTGCCTTGCAAAGTGTTCAGCGGAACGATCCAAGCATTTTGACAGGCTGTGGATCGGCTGCCCACTCTCGTCGCGTATGGTCTCGCTAACACCAGGTCTCCTGCTGCCTGTTTCCCGTATCAGACGGAATAACTTAAGATGATTGCCAACGCTAGCGGCTGTTTCCATCTCATAGGCACGATGTGACCACCGGGTTTCGCGGTCTTTCTTCGCGCTAGCACGTATTTTGCCTGAAATTTTTGCGAGCCTCATGGTATTCGCTTCCAGCCGGAATACGTCGGCGAGCATTTATAAGTTGCAGAGACTGTGTAGAGACCCAATGTCCAGTTTAGAAATTTGCTTTGCCACATGAAGACATGCCTGCTGATGGTAACGTTTGACGAATATGCGACCAGTGATCTTCGACGGTGTTTAGTGGGCGCTTACTCAGCCCGGATGTGAGCGCACTTCGATACGCATTCAGAACAGCTGGGTTTGTCAGTTGGCTGGTGTCAATCCGTTCACATTGACATTGCGGACGTCCACCGAAACACATCCGGAGGTCGGCGCAGACAAGTACGTGGTCTGAGTCCACACTCGTGCTCCAAATCGAGCGAAAGTTTTGGACACGGCCTTTCCAGCGGTAACTGATCGCGATATGATCGATTTGCGTCCATGGCTGGCCCGGTGATGGTGGCCGCCAAATTACGCCTTTGCGGGTGCTGTGTCGAAAGTTTGTGCTTGCGAGAAAAAGACGAGCATTTTCACACAGCTGTAGAAATCCCTCACCCTTATCACTACGGGAGCCTACACCATGTTGGCCGCCCAGATGAAGCTCATCAGAGAACCTTTTACCGACTTGGGCGTTTAGATCGCCAGCCAACACCACAGTATCCGTGCTTCTTTTGCGACGAAATAGATCTTGAAGTTGCTGATAGAAATCATCTTTTACCGAATAAGTGCTACAGTTAGTACGGGCGTAGGCCGCAATGACAAACAGGCACCGTTTGTTCCCGCGCGACTTCGTAGCACGGAACAAACCAGCTAATCTAACGGCGCACATCCGACTGTTGGTTGGGATCCAATCGATCCGGGCAGCTTCAGCCCGGGGACTCAAAACAATGCCGAAGCCAGCTTGACCGGCACTTGAAGCTGCATCATCGTCAGACAGGCGCAATGAGAATGTGCCGCCAGTGTCGCATGTAGGGGATCGCAGGGTAAGCACAAAGCTGGAATCTTGCAGCAGAGTTTCTGATAAACAGTAAATATCGATCGATAGGGTCACTAGTGTACCAGCAAGTGCTGCCTGTTGGCCAATCTGTAACAAAGTGCGCACGTTGAGGCATGCCAGTCTTAAGGAGGCGCGAGGACTCCAAAGGGAAACGGATGAACTGACGTCGTCTGCTTGGTTGAACATGGACTAGTCGACTGGATTGCGGTGACGCCCTGAGACTGTGTGTGATTTGAAACTAGAAGACACGCGACTATTGAAGCAAGGTGGGAGAGGGCCAAGAACTGTTGGATTGAAAATGGAGGGATAAAAGTAAAGTTGGAGCAGGACGATAAGGATGAAAAAGCGCAAGAAGGGGAGTAAGGAGACGGGAAGGCCTGAGCAGTAGCATCCATACCCCTATCCAGCCCGCTCGATGCAGCAGATAAGGCGCCGTTTTTTATCCTCTTCGAAGGCCAAAGCATCAAGAAATTGTTTGATGAAAGGTTCATTGTATTGTATTGAGTAGGCAGAATACTGTCAGGTTGCGCAGGTCTAGACAGGTGAACGATTAGGGTCCTTAACCTAAGACTGGTTCAAAGACCTTACCGCAAGACAGCGGGTCTTGACACTGGACTACAAAGACCCCTTTTTACGGAGTAAGGAGCCATCCTCACACCATCCTCCAACCTGGAGGGCCAGGAGACTGTTTGTCTGGCCTCTAATCATTGACCAATCTGGTATGAGTGGTTCTGAAGGTGCAAAAATATGCACCACCCATTATTGTCGGCCGGTGGCCGAGTATGTCTGCACGTTTGCTTTGCAACCATAAGGTCACCGGTTCGAATCCGCGTAGGGGTGGGCGTCCCCGCTGTATACTCAGCCCGCGCGCGACTGGTGGTGGTCGCGCGGCAGCGAAGCGCCTTTACGGCGTACAGCTGACACATTATTATTATTATTATATTATTACTCATTATTGATCGATGGATCTCTGAGGCACGCAAATCATCGCACCACGGTAAGTTCCATCCTCATTGCGACAAATCACCGTAGATTCTGACGCGACCTCAGGTGTCCGAGTGTAGCTTTCATGACCCGTCTAAACACCAACAATATATGAACTGGTCACCCTGCCAAGTAGTGCGTTCACTTCGTGATAGAAGGCGTCCTCGGTAGCATCAGAACTGCAGTCGTTTGAAGCACAAGCAGAAACCACCAACAAACACCGTCTAGTGCTGCTCCATGAACCAAACTTAGTTTGTATCGTCAAACGGTATGCACACAAATGGCTGCTCATGGGTACCTAATTAATCAACGATCACTCAGTCTTGGAGCTGAGAACGATGCTCACTTTAGCTTGACCCATGGTTGCCGCATCAATGTCTCCGGATACGTGTAGCCAATGGTGAGTGGACAAGTTAGGCACAGTTAGTTCAACTAACACGTGATGTCTATTGTTCTTAGTTTCGGTTGCGCAACACACGGCAGTACCCAGCGTGCGAGGGCGGTCTGTTGACCTATTTGTCGTCGAATGCGAACGTTGAACGTCGCTAGGGAAAACGGTAGAGCTTGGTCTTATAACTAGCTGTTGAAGATACGCGTCCGGTAAGTGTTGTGGGTAGGTAGCTGCAAGTAGCATAACTCCAGTGCTATTGCAGCTGTCGTCAACTGAGCTGGGAGCGAAAGGTTAGCAATTGGGTCAAGAGAAGTCTAAGAGAAACAGGTGAGCAAGGAAAAACGGCGGCGCCAGCAATAGCATGATTTCACTTAGCCGTCCTGTTGTATACAGCAAACAAAACGATTCTCGGAAAGGTGCGTGACGGCCGATGCAGCATGTAGTGGAAGTTTGATGAATTAATCATGGTTATACGTAAGCTGAGATGTTGTCAGGGCATCCAAACATAGATCGGAAAACGATCAGTTTCCAATCAAAGCTGTCGGTTTGAAAGCCTACTCACAAAGCAGAGGGGAGGTGGTAATGCTTTGGTATTACAGAAATGAACGTCATCCCATTTCCAACATTCAACCTGGAGGACCAAGGGATTCTTTTTTCGACATTCAACCAGTGATCCTTTTGGTAGTAGTAACCATTAAGTGGTCCATTGGGTCGGAGAGGTACACAAACCGTCGCATCACGTTAACCTCCAGTCTTCCTGAGACTGCACATGGACCACTTTGTCGCCCCCTTGTAAATGCCTAACCGAAGGGTGTACTGGCCCTGCTACGCTCACCCCTCATCGTAGTATGATTACCTTGTATCCTATTCATTTTTGTCCGTTTTTCTTTTATCGTAATCTAGACCAATTTCGATTCACATATTTTTGTTCTTACTTAGGCTTCTGTCTCATCATCGAGCCATTCGACGAACGCTGTCCTAGCGTTATCAATCCGGTGTTATATTTCCAATGTCTCGATGCCAGTCTTCCGATTCGGCCAATATTCAACCGATTTGTCAGCGTCATTATCACATCAGGAGTAAGTTCACTAATGCGTGCATCCTTGCGTGTCATCATTATTGCATCTAATCCAGCGGTTTTCCCCCTACGTATTGTGTATGTGATGGTTGATAATTAAGATTTATTCTTTTGAATTTAGTTCACCCCAACGCACAGTTGCTAGTTCCAGAGCTCATAGAATACTCAAACCTGTTAGTTTTTTTTAGCTGCAATGCCGTCATCTGCTATTGTGTTGACTCAGTTTACCATTCTTTGTTTCTTATATCCTGTCATTACTGGCCATTCTTTCGCGTAGTTCTCTACTGTTAGGAACGCTATATAATTCAAACTGCGATGCTCTACGCACGAATCCGTGAGAGTCAGACCAACATGTCCTTGAGATGCTTCAGCGACGTTTCACGAATAACCTATACTCTCATTCCTGATAGATGACATGCGGAACGCGTTGCGTTGAGCTTGGACTTGACCCAGCCTGGCTTCGGATATTGAAGCTGAACTTTTGCTTTCTTTTCAAGTGCATAAATCATCATGTGCACAGTTCCGATAACGCTGTTTGCATCTCATTGAACACTTGATGCCCCATACGTCACAAGGGTTTCCAAGGTTCAACATAAAAATCAAAGTACCGTTTTTTAACCTTATTATTCTAACATCTGGAACAGACTCGTACGAAATATCAAAGCATGCTACGTAAATTCAAGCTTGCGATGATTCGACATTTGATCATACGAAATGCATTTCCTGTTTTGGACGTAACAATCCCTGGACAGCGCTTCCGAAGACGGTATCGATGGCGCCTGACATAAATGACAATCACCCACACGCGCCCATGCTAAACGATTACCTGCATATTGCATTTTGGCTCACACCTTTCGTTTCGTTTTCTTCTCGGTCCGAACATCTGTTTTGTTTTTGTGAAGAGCACAAGTTCATCGACAGGTTGGAACATCAACAAATTATTCCGGTTTGTTTTTGTCACCTATACAAATACTTTATATATATATATATATATATATATATATATATATATATATAATGACAACAACCTTACTGAGAGAAAGCAATGCGCGCTTTTTCATGAGCACATTGTGTGGCTGCTCAACAGTTTCTTCAGTTTCGCGTCTCCTTGAACTTGTAATTCCCTTACATGTGATCCTCTTGCTTATCGGTTGCAGACCTTGTCTCCATTGGACATGTACCCGCGGATCTTGGATTTCCATTCGGTCAACTCAGCCTCGTTTACGATGACATTGGCCAGAAGTTGCGTTCTCCCCATGGTTGGTCTTTGTCCGTTCCCATTTGTGCTCATGTTTGTCGCATGCATATTGCTTATTAAAGTTGTCATCCCATTTGAGAGTATAATTACATCAGTCATTTCCGTTGTTCATTTTCTTTATACCAGCTTACACTAACGAACGCCGTCACGAGGGATATGTTCTATACTCATTTGGTTAACTTTCGCCGTCAGAACGCCAAAACATTAGAAACATCGTGTGGTTGCTGGCAGCCGGCTATTATGTAAAAATAAAGCGACAATGACATGTCCTTGCTCACCACGTGCACTGCTTTTTTCGTCGTAATCGTTACTTGTGCATTTAATCAAGGCGTGTTTCCTGGCCACTATATCGGACGAATGACCTTTACTATATCTGGTCCGCCCGCGCATGGAACTTTGCTCTAATACCTGCAGTATCGTTTCGGTCAAAAAGCCCTCTTGCTTTTCTTTCTATGGATTCCTGTTTTACAATGATATGCTCATAGAGCCTATTTAAGTTATCTACGTGGGCGCCGGTCCGGCTCTTCTGTGATTGATGCAGATGGTGCAACCGCCCTTTTGCATGTTGTCTCTGTGGTCAGTTCTCTTCAGTTGTGCATGGGGCGGTCTTTTTCGGACAGATGTGCCAGTGTGTTTGTCACTTTCCTTAGACAGCGAAAACTCGAGGGAATCTGGAACAACAGCGCAATTGGCAACTGCGCTTGCGTTTCGAACCTGGTCTTCAGACGAAGCTTCTAGACGGAGCGGTCATGGTTTGCATCTTGTCATCTGGGTACGAGCCGGCCCGTAGTCTAGAGGTAACGAACCTGTCTCGTAATATTGCAGCGCAGGTTCGAGTCTGCGTAGGGGCACGGCGACCCTCGCAGTATCCTAGCCCATGTGCGACCGGTGGTGATTGCGCGGCAGTGAAGCGTCAGTACTGCGTACCGGCGTACTGCTGATGGCTTTTCTTTTTATCTGGGTACGATGCGGCTCAGGGGATTGGACCTACTGAACTGTTCTGAAAGTTGTCCTCACTGAGAGGGAAAACTGAATTTTTGAGGTGAATTAATAAGCTGGTTCTCTTCCCGATTGCTTTACTGGTGTCCGGGAGAAATCAAAAATTTCCCGGAAAATCCACTATTTCAACGATAATCAATTGTTAACAGTTATCGCATCTATTTCGAACGTTTTGCAATGGTCTAAGGCCAGCAGGTGACTAACAAACTTCCTGAAGATCGGCCAAATCTATGAGGAACAACTAACTTTGGTGTCTGACCTAATTCTAGAAGTCGAAGGTCATGAGGCGACCTATAAATATGACCATGGTCTGTTGCCTTTGGACAGTTCCTGTTTGATTGCGGTCAACACGTTATTTTCGGCAAGGACGTTCTGACTTTTTTTTGCTTGGGTTTGGGTTCGTGCAAAATAGATTAAGTGCGTATTTCGGAATTGCAGCAAGTGAGATGATTTAACAACTGATGTATAGTTGGAGGGCCATTTTTGGATTTCACGTTGTGTGATTAGCTTGTGACGCGTAATCTCAATTTGGACCGCGATTCACATTGAAGTGAACCTTAGTCCCTGCGATCATTGTGACCGTAGCCGAAGCAGATAGAAATTAGGTGTTGCCCGCCCAAGGACACTGCACAACCACGACGCGTTTCGATATCATTTTATCTCATCAGGTGGAGATAGGAGACCTCGAACCCGCGACAATTGGAATAGTGGCCGAACCTTCTACCCCTTTGGCAGGGACCGAGGTTCAGTGTGAATCGCGATCCACATTAAGATTGCATGTCGCAATCCAATCACACAACATGTGATCCAAAAATGGCTCTCCAACTAGTCATTAACCGTTGTACCACGCTTTGCCCGTCGTGACTCGGTAGCCAAAGGGGTAGAGGTTTCGGCTACTCTTCCAATGGTTGCGGGTTCGAAGCCCGCTATCTCCACCTGATGAGATAAAATGATATCGATAAGCGTCGTGGTTGTGCAGTGTTTTTGAGCAGGCAAAACCTAATTTCCAACTGGCGAATAGCTTCTTGTGGCCAGAAGCGTGGATCAGTTGGGAAGGCCGTTCTGATTCATCCATTTCTTGAACCATCTTGGTCCATCGAGCCTCGTCATCTGATCGCGGCATATGTTTTAGCTTGCGCTAGGTAGCGCATCTGAGTGCACTGTGCCTGCGGAGCCAATAAGGATTAGTTTTTGAATTCCTAATGGATTCTTTAGCCGTAGGCGCCTCTATATATGATGTGATGGCAATTGTAAGTCTTGTGAGCAGAAACACCGGGCCATGCTCGCAGCACAATATCGACGACTTCCATATGAATGGTCGAAAACTTTGTCCGATTAGTCATCATGGTGTGTACAGTTATCTCACTGTTTCGTGAATGCTTTCAAGTCTTCGACATAGAAACGTTTGTCAATACGTGCGAACCTGTTTGAGACGGCCTGCTTTATCTCTGTGGAAACGCTGGTCTCCGAAGAATTCCTTTGTGGGTCCACGCGGTTGGAAATCACTTGGGGCTAAATCAGGGCTATATGGGGTGTGTGGCTATGGGAATCGAGAAATACTAGCCTTCTGCGATTCAAGGCAGATTTTAAATCGTTTTTGCAGGCGGGATGCTATCTAAGACCCGAACGACACGTTTTTGGTGACATCGAACGGTCTCGAATCATCGTGTCTATTGCTGCAAGCGAAGAGTAGGGACGGTTGCGATTTCATGACAAGTTATGCGATGATTATTGATTGCAGGCTGTTCAGCTCGCTGAATGCCCCAAGAAATGACACGCGTGGGCTGGGTTTCACTACGACCGAGATTATCAGTCTCAGGCACGAGACCAAACCGTCATTCAGACGTTTGGATGCGACTGAGCATCCTGTCAGCACATTGTATATTTCAACTGATTTTATGCTGTCCTTCGTCAGAAAGCTCATCACAGCGCGCTGTCCAATGTGCGTAATCACCCCGTCCGCTATTTCGAATAAATTTACATTATTTGGCACACGAGAGCAGTGACTCCTGGTAGTAACGGCACGCAGTTGAGAGTTATTACTGCTTGCATTGCCTATATCATGAAATTACATTTCGAAACTGAAGAAATGGTCATGGATTGGATTGAACCACCTACGCGGCACTGTCCGTGCGCAATGTGGCTGAAGCTGGTTCAACGGAACGACAGCTATGGTCCAGTTCAGATTTATGACGATTACTCACAATTATGCATCTGTCGATGAATTCACTTCTTGCCTTCGTCATGTTTATATACAATTCTGAATTAGCGGTCACACAGGCTGTGGTTTTTCAGATTGGATTGTTGCATCTAAATAACTTAGATTTTTTTGTTCCTTGACGTCCATTTGCATTGTGTGCTCTTTTGGTTAAAATAACAATAATAACAATAAATAATAATAATATCTAATTGCAGGCACGTATTATTGGCCTTGATATATGCACCTTTTCGGAACAAATTTGCTGGAACTTTCATGGTATTTGTAGCTGCCCCCTATTTTCCTCTAACGACTAAAATGCTGCCAAAACAGACAGTTAACATGTGGCATAGGCACGGCCCTTGTCTGATCACTAAGCTCCTGACTGCCACTTCGAAGAGACGTTGCCCAGCTTACTTGTCGGCTCTTCCACGAAACATTAAACCTTACTTTGCCGGTGTACAGAGACGTCTCTATGATTTATGCTCGAACAATAGTTTGTTTACTTGCTGCTTCATTCAATCCTTTTTCGTCGCAGATTATATCTAAAGGGAACGATCAGGTCCCAATGACTACCAGGTTTGAAAGCCGAGATGACACAGGTATGTCCAGTGACTCCAACTTTGCAATTTCTCAACAATGCCAACTATATTCTTGTCCCTTACCGTTTCTCACTCAACTGTAGCCCTAGTGCATCCAACACGCCATCAAATTGCGACTGTATCTTCTTGCTATACACAGACTAAGGTCAGCCGAACGTAAGTAGTACAAGACTCGCGATAATCTTCATTGTCTAAGAAATTCTTCGCTCCTTGTTCAGCCGCATCAATTCGCTTTCCCCGACATCAACTTCCCCACTTTTGGGATTGCCTGAATCCTTCTCCCATCAACGACACGATCCGTCCCACAAAATTAACTAGATACCTCGGCTCCTTTATATTCACATAATTGCCTGGTTCGCAAGTCTTTCCTAACGATCTTTGTACACATTATCTATTAACCTGTGATGACAGCGGTTGCAGTTACCCGGTCACATAGGGAGCGAATGTCTCGCGGGACGTACAAATACTATTTATTTACCCATCTGTCCTTCAAGTGACTCCTCATTTGCCCATGTAGGCGTTGGGGCTCCACCGATTAAAGTTGTGAAATAATTTAGAAGCATCGCTACGTGACATAGATCTTACAGCATATTTGTCGATGACAGCCTCTAGATTTGCCTATCACTCCGACTGCGACATGGCTGGCCGGTGCTCCCACATCTGCCCACTCAATATCTGTTACGTATCAGAAGGAATTACAAGTAGGTGGGAGGCCCTATTGATTCAGAGCTGACCGCGCTTCTTCAGGATGCCTGTCGCTGGGGCAAACTCAAGGAAACACTCCCCTCAAAATCGTTACACAGAACTTCATGCGAATGGACCACACTTTCGGTCCGACGATCTCAATTAGTCTCTGATATTAAGGCTACACAGAAGCCACGCGCCGCTATCGCTACCATGGCTTTCTACGGGGACCGGGTTAACACGTGTTATCCTCTGCTTTATTGGCCATTCAATGACCGCGGAAATATAAAGATTGCTAACCACATTGCTTCCATTGACGCCTAGTATCATAAAGACGATCAAGTTGTGGTTGTATTCTTCGTTATTGACGCTTGAGTCTTGTTCTGCGCTAACGTACCCAGTCGTAGGGTTCATACATTGGCCTATCTCCTTCAAGGTTTTCGCAGAGTCGGATGCTGATCTCGATTGTGATCCACGCAGAATACCGAAGTCAGCGAAGCGGTCGTTTTTCTGGACATGAATCTCTTTCAGTTTGTAAGAAAATGAACACATCTTTTCTGGTCGTTGAGTCCTAGTGCGATCTGAGAACTGTCACTGAAGTGTCTACTTTTTCGACTTCTGTAATTATCAGCTATTTCCGGTTTAATTTTTTCACGAACGCCTATTTTTGTCCACTCCCATTTCGTTCCATTCGTAGGTTTACGCTCGTAATGCATGTCTTTCCTGATCTGGATGCTTTAACCCGTATTGGATATACTATGTTAAATGACAATGTGCGTCGCCCATTCATGTCGTTGTAATGTCTCTTCGGTAGACTGTTCCAATCCACCAAATTTGCCCGACTGAATTGTTGTCACAATGTTTAAGCCCTTCCATTCCTATCTGATGCATTGCTTTGTTTGATCTAGACATCGCCCTCATCATTTTGCTCATTTCAGCCGTCGTGCGCAACTACGGTCACCTACTGGCGCAGCTTTCTTCTGTCGTTCCCGATGGGATCGTCGCCTTCTTCCCCAGCTACCACTATTTGGTAAGTAACGGCTACCCTGTTGGATGTGTAGCTCACTTCCTGATTGGGATATTGTCGTCCTTACGATTATGCTCTCGAAAATTCTATTGCGAATGACCAAGTGCTATCCCACGCTTACTGAATATCTTGGTGTGCATTTAATTTTTTCCGTTCGATCATTCGTTCAGTTCTTAGCACTATGTTTCACTTACAACTTTTGGTGCGCTGTTTACTTTCAATCAGATCCCTTTCCAACTGTTCCACATAAGCGATGTTTTTCTCTAATTCGCTCTTTCAACATTTCAGGAATCCACCTTTTCTATGTGGTACGAACAGGTACGTCCCATTTTGATCATCTCTCGTTTCACCCATCGGAGCACACTGTATTCTCCGGAGGGGAAGCATTATTAATGGATTACTACATGAACTATCCCGGATTAACATCATTCCCAACGATGTTCACTGGGCCTCAGCGTAACTCTGTGTTATCCATGCTCATATCGGCGGATATCGACTCGTAATCCTCCATAAGTTTTTGTAGCGTACGTCTGTTGATCTTATTCGTTTGTTTCCACTCTATTTTCTCTTGGCGGTCCGTTATTATTGTTATCGGACAAAAGTCAAAGAATTTAGATCCACGTCGCGTTTATATGTTGGTTATGGCTAAGCATTGGAATCGCACTTTGCTCATGTCACCACGCATCGTTCTCGCTTGGTTTCCCAAGCCTGGATAGCCCGAGGCATCCTGCTCACTTCCATTATTTGCTATCGACACTGCCCCTTTAGGTGATCTGCGGTTATCGTAGTAGCTATGTGTTAGACCGCCTCAAGATTTTCCTCCGAATGGATCCCGGCGTTCATGCAAGGTGCATCCGAGCTTGTTCCGAATCCTCTATGCTTTATCAATTCAGTTGCACCTGTGATGCAAGGTACCTAGGGCACACGACCAGGCGTCTGTCTAAGATGATATCGGGATACTGTCCTACTTCTCCACGATACGGCACGGGCAGAATTCTCCACAATCAACAACAGCAGTACATCGGCCATTTGAACTGATGCTACGCTGCCATACAACCCTGATGACGTATGGAATAAAAAATAATAAAAGGGAGAGAAGGGGGACCTAACCGAAAACCTTAATGCCTTAAGCAAACTTTCAGGATCAGTGATCCTCCACCTTGTCAATAACATACCGTCACAAACAGCTGGCTATCCTACATAGATTAGGCGAAATGAGCGACACAGCTTGCTTGCGGCCTTCACTGCCCCACTTCATAATCAGCCATTACCCCGCTCGGCTTCACTCTGATCTAACCACTAGCACCCCAGGTTTAGCTAGGTTCCTGGTTATCTCACTGTTCCTCCCAGATGCAATTGTTTGATGAGAATTGTCGAAAAGATATCTCTTCGCAACCTTATTCTAAGGTCTCAATGGGGATAAAACGTGATGCTCTTGGTTTATTTGCTCGGAGATTCTTCCTTACCAAGTCTTAGGATGTCATTGTCTCGACTTCGAGCCAGGTCCAGAGAGTAGTTTGAAACGGTGTCACGTACCGCGGATCATTCATCTGATGTGGTGTACAAAAGGCATGTTTAAGTGCTCATTATAAACTTCTTTTCATTTTCCGTCTACACTACATTGTAACCGATTCACTTATACGATATTTCTCCGTTTACCAAACGCCCTTGTTTCGCTTTTTCTCTTCAGCATCTCATTGAACAGATACAGCGCCACAAACTTCTGTTTGTCGAAACTCAGGACGCTGAGGAGACCAGCCTGGCACTTGCATCTTATCAGCGAGTAAGTCGGCTTCATGACGCATTGTCGTCCTTGATCCGGGGGACGAAGTATGCACCATTGACTTCCTATTGCACCGGGCGGTTTCAAAACGCTCCGGTTCGTTTGAATAGTCATCTTTAAGGCAGCACTACACCTTTTTACAATATCATCCGCAACTGTGGCGTACAATGATGCGCGATGATCAACTCTAAAAGTTGGCTTTGCTCGCTATCCATCTTGAGGTAACCACGTTTGTTTTTGCACTTGCAGGCCTGCGAAAATGGGCGCGGAGCTGTCCTCCTGTCCGTTGCACGGGGTCGCGTTTCCGAAGGCATTGATTTTGGTGAGTTGGTTTTATTTTTGGAACAACTCATCGGTGCACATTCGTGTGCTCATTCTGCGTATACATTGAGTCCTTCTATTTGTAGCAGCTCACACCGGCGAATCATGTCTTTGTATGATTTGACAAAATTTGGCTAATCTATATGCCATCGTCTCGCGTACTTTAGTCTCATAGATTGGCTTTCTGGTCTGTTGCCTATTTTGAGGACGGCGTTTAACTTTCTACTTTTGTGTTTTTGTTGCCGACGCTCGTGCACTTATTTTAAGAATTGTTGAGGCTAATGTTAATGAACTCTACATATGTTGACTCATCGACGCCTGTCCGTTGCTTATTTTTCTTCATTGCACTATGGCGAGAAACGGAACATGAGAACCGCTTTACCAACGTTTTGCAAACGAATGCCAGGTCAGAACGTGAAAATGGGTTCGCTCGATGAGGCGGGGAAGCCGTTTGGCCGAACGTCGTGCCAAGGGTAAAGGAGCAGTTTGAACGCTACGATCAGGACTGCTTAGCTTGCGGAATGGTGCGATGAGAGATTACTGAACCTTTCCTATGTTCTGTAACACATAAATAGCGCTTTAGTTTTGATCGCTGCGCAGTCCGACTTCTACATTCCGCGAGCGCATCACAACAGTACTCCTTAGGTCATTTACGTAGGCGGATCGTTTACGGTGGCGTTTTTATAGTTGCCGGACAGAGTCGGCGAATTAGGTGCTAGTCAATCAGGAAATAGAGGAATGTGAACAAAGCCTCGGTGAGGGACCACCTTTTAAATAAACAAACACACTTTTATTCTCGGCTAAGCGAGGCACACCTGAACGGGCATGATCACAGTAAGAGTGCAACCGATGATCAAGGAATGTTCAATAGGATGATCATAAAAGTGTCATGTATGTTGATACATGAATGTATTTATGCGTGCGTGTAGGCGTGTGTAGCTGTGTTGCGTGGCTTTGTGAAGGTTTTGCTGTTTTGGCTTGTGTCTGAACGTGTCGCCAATGCTAAATGGATGTTTAACATCCGTTGATTTGCAGTGATTGTGCGGATGAGCATTACGCCAAGGGGCAATGACTTTATTTAGCGGCGAGTCACAACCGCCACGTCAGTGTTGGTAAACGAACCTTTGTGGCTTTTTTAGGGAGAAGGCTTGCCAAGCGTAAACCCACCACGTGCTGGAACACTGCCGTCGAGCTATTTGCTGAAACGGGGTAAACCCTAACCACCAAGCCCGCACCACGGGGAGGTTGTTCGGCTAGCCAGCCGAATAACTGCTGGACATGTTTGAAACACGATCAGAGAATTTTTCCCGACTCTGACAAAATACATGGCGCACAAATGCACAGTGTGTGTCAATAAGACAAATCAAATGTAATCCGCATAAAAAATGCTACAAATATCACTTTTTCATATTTTGCGAAGTTGAACTAGTGTGTGAAATATCGAACAGAAGGAGAATTGTGACAGCCCTACACGATGCCGTTGTAGACAAGTAGGAAGATACATAGTGTTTCCGTTTTTTGTACTACCTTCCGCCGATTTTCGCAGTACATTGTGCCTATTTGTTTTGGCTTTCCACGTGCCTTCATACGAACAAGCACTTAGAGATACGATCCATGCCTTCCTACACCGCTTCTCTGATTCTTCCCTGTCCTCTTGTTTTCCAGACCATCACTTGGGACGATGTGTCGTCATGTTTGGCGTTCCCTACGTGTACACTCATAGCCGAATTTTCAAGGTGAGAAACAGGCAACAATAATAAACCTCCAAACTTACTAACCTTTTCGCTCAAAAATCAACCGCTTTTATCCATTGCTACTCGCTTGATAGCGTCAGATGCTCGTCGGTGCTCTGGAACCGGAATACTATTGTGGCAATTTTCTGGAGTGACATACGAGCAGTATGTCTCAACACTGTCTCCAATCTGCTTGATTAAGTGTTCATTGTTACATCAACGGTTCGCACATCGAAGTGATAGTGTTGTGTGTCAGATGGCTATGGTATCGATGCACTTCCCTTTGCTTGTGATATTTATCATTTAGTAACACCGCTTACTCCCTACTCTTTTTCCGTGACTGGATTCGAATTCTGTTCAAGCAAGCTGCTGTCGCATACACCTTTGTGGCAGGTGATTTCGAACAATTAGGGTATTTTCATTCGATGCATCTCGAGTAACTGACGTAAAGAAACGAAACTCATTTGGTATTCTAACTAAGACAATAAGAAGACTGGTATTGCGAGATGGAACCATTTTGTGTTACCTGCTCACTCGCAAACTAACAACATAAATATGAATCACATGACAGAAAAATCGAAGGTTTGAAACTAGTCATAAAGGAAAATTACGTAGACGCAAGAATAACAGATCAACGAACTTGCTGTTAGGATCATGAGCCCCATAGAAGCTTTAGGGAGACTGTTAATTGTTTCTGTACACAAAGGATAGGGCAATGCCGATTAGGTGCCGCAGTTTCGGCAAACGAAACTTTGGGGTTTTCATTTCGATAGTTAACTGTAAATGTTGACCCAGAGTCAACCTGATGGCCTGTTTCGATTAGATGTCTGGCGATAGATGATGCCAGCAGTTTAGATACCTTTTCTTGTTCGGTTGCTTGTTGTGTCGATAGTTTAGCAGTCCGTTTTGGGATATGCTCTACAATGCGCTTACCAAAGGATCGATCTGTTCTGCCACTGTAACTACTTCCGCAGTTACAAACGAATTGGTAAATACAATGGATTGTAGCGGAGCTCGGTTGAGTAGGCTTCACTGGAGGCATAGGCAACTTCATGGTCTCCCAAATGGGGCAGAATTTGGCGGTATTGAATGTCCGGTGAATCGCTGTATGCAAACGTCTTTCAAGTTGGGCGGCCACGATATCACCTTTGAAAGGTACTTGAACGTAGACCGACAGTTTGGGCACAGTAAGTACCCTCGGCCTGTTTTTCTTCAGTTGACTGTGGAATCGAATAAACGCCTCTAAATATCCGTTGGCCCGTAGCGTATGTGTGATAAACAGAAATTCCGATTCCAAACAGTCCTCAGTGCATATTCTGCCGGCTCGATTAAACAGCTTCTTGACCAAGCACCGCTTGGATTGAATAGGAGCGAAACTGTTGAAGTGTTCATACAGTCCTGTCCATGTAGCTTTCCTGTGAACAGAACGCTTTATGAAGCCGTCTTCTCGTCTGGTCAACAACACATCCAAAAACGGAAGGCAATTGTTATCCTCCAGTTCACAGATGAAACGGGCGTTCGGATGTGCATTATCGAGCACATTGAGAAGAGATAGAACAGCGTTTCCACTTGAGGCGGTCACTAGTGTGTCATCTACGTATCGCCTGTATAAACACATTGGTTGATGTGCGGCTCACATCTCATTTCAACCATCGTCATGAAGCTGTCAGCCAATACCGGGCCAAGCGAACTTTCCATGGCTACACCATCCACCTGTTGGTACGGCTTGTCTTCAAATAAGAAATGCACATTTTCCGTGCATAGTAGCAGCAAATCCCTAAGATAATCCATGGGAATCGTTAACACTACTTTACTACTCATTATAAACTCACATAAGAAATCCACCGTTTCTCTTAATGTAATGTTAGTGAACAAAAACTGTACGTCCATTGAACACATTACCTCGTTTTTTCACAGGTGTACCCAGATATTTTGAAGTAAATCTCTGTGATGATACGCAAGGTGATTCACTTTCGGCTGGTATTTTTGATGCGTGTTTTCCATCCCAGAGCCACATGTACCATTGCGTCGCGTTGCGATGAGGTCTCGACCACTACATAGCATCGACTAAACATGTGCTTGTCGCATAAACAAGGTTGTTGGAAATTGCACAATGCTTGATGAATCGCACTCTTGTTCTTCACAAATATTGGATTTTCTCATCTCGATACATCCAGTGTCGTTCATCTCGTCATACATCGGCGACAGTATTGATACCAACTACAGGCAGAATCTTTTTGAATGAAGTCCACGCCAGTGCCATCTACTTTCATGTCTACAGGATCGGACGGTGCACCGCTGGTGTCCTCCACGCACCATACACTGTTTTGTGTTGTGCGAGTTTTAGAATCGTGTCAGAACCTTCTTTGGAAATAACCGTACACAGCTGCTGTGGATTCGTCTCCTTTCATCAGCGCATGTTGCTCAATCTTTAACGAAGTAAACCATTGACGGACCACTGACATCGAATTGCAACCGACAGAGCGTTTCTTGGGTTGCTTTTACGGCTACGGAACTGTAGATTACACCCCTTCAGTGCGGAGTCAAACTTTGGTACATGCGAGAGCTGCCATAGAAACATTCGTATCCGTCTACCTGTACGTGGGCGACCAAGTGTGCCCTGATTATGAGCCTTCTCCAGATTCAACAACTGCCGTCTAAACCTTGAAAGTACACATAAGCTTATTAAGTCGATCGCTATCACTGAGTCAGACACACACACACACACATTATACCCGTTAACTAAACGTGGATAATACCTCAGCTACTGTGCCGCGATACCTAAAAGAAAAAAGGGAATAAAATGCAACAGGTGCAAGCCAGCTGAGCTCCCGGTAACGGATGGACATCGTTCCGGTAAGCTACCTGCTGGCTACTATGCAGCATATAAAAAATAATTTACTATGCAAAATTATAAAATGAGAATTAATGAAATCGTGCTTGAAGTGGGAGGCTAAGAGGGATGGGGTGGGACAAAGAAACTCACAGCACTAGCGCCACTGAGGTCGGCTCCTTGCCATATCAACAAGTGTATCCAGCCAAACGTGTTCACCGTTTTTCGGACCCCAACCAGGGAGCCGAGACGCTCCAACTGAGGCCAGCTCAGAAGTGAGGGCCTTCATTCCTCTCGACCAACTCATCGCTTGGCCACCTCTCCTCTTCCTCCATCCACAGCCGCGGCGCGCAAACAACGCACATCGCGGGACTCGGTGGGCTGACATGCGTAACACGTAGCCGAGCCATCAGAGGCTGGTGCGTGAAATGACGGTGCTAAGCGGTTCAGTTCCTTTTCCTGTGCCGTAAACAAGGCGTCGAACACGCTCGTTGCTCATGCGGTGTTCCCAACAGATGTGAGCCAAATTGCGAAGGCACCGGTGATCGAACGTATATAGCCACTTTATGTCCGCCGATCTTAGGGGTCAGGTTTCGCAACCGTACAGTAGGGTCGAACGTACCGCTGCATTGTACACTCTACCGGCGCCATAAATGGCGAACATAAGCAAAAGCGCCTCGAGCTTTTGCCATGCGGTTCGTGATCTCGTCTTCGATCCCACGGGCGCTGATACAACTTCCCAGGTAGTTGAATTTTTGAACGACTTCTAGCTGATCCCCACCAAGGGTCAGCGAAGGAGGTGGTCCAGGCCCATCTTGAAGGAACACTTTGCACTTCGACGGTGCAAAGCAAAGCCCGAAGCGGCTGACAGTTAGTGCTAATCTGTCCAGTGCAGCTTGGCACGTCTGGGAGCTGTCACAGATAAGGGCAATGTCGTCAGCATACTCCAAGTCAAGAAGTCGTTCTCCTGGGAGCAGATCCACACTTTCTAAGTCGTGTCTTGTGAACGGGATTTCCATAACTTCGTCACTAGCGAAGTTGAAGAGGAAAGGTGACAGTGGGCATCCTTGACTCACACCGCTGGATATATTAAGGTGCGACGACAGCTTGCCGTAAGCCCTCACTCTGCCTGAGCTACGCGTGTACAATGCTCGGATAATATTTACATATTTCTCAGATACACCTTTCCTGAGTAAACAGTTCCTAAGGGCACATCCATCAACCGAATCGAATGCACCTTTTATGTCGAGGAACACGACAACGGTGGGCCGCCATTATATGTGACTGTGCTCCAACAACTGACACAAAGTGAAGATGTGGTCGATGCAGCCACGACCTCGACGGAACCCGGCTTACTCTTCACGAATATGTCAGTCACTCTACGAAGGATGACAGAGGCAAGCAATTTGGAGGCGATGGAGATCAGACTGATTCCTCTATGACTGCCACATTCCGATCTTGATCCTCCCTTGAAAATTGGGACTGTGGCGGAGTGACTCTAGTCGGTTGGGACAGTTTCCTGCTCCCAGAGTTTCACTATTAATTCGTATAAATCATCCGCAAGAGCGGGTCCCCAGAATTTGAAGATGGCTGGAGGTACATCACCTGGTCCCGCGGCTTTATTTGACTTGAACAGTGCGATCTCACGTTCGACTCCTGAGCGAGACGGTGGATCCAAATGGACAGCCCAGGGTGCGGGGAGGTCAGTGGCCGGCGAGAAGTCTAACGATTCCGACCGATTAAATTGCTTTTCAAAATGCTCAGCCCAACGCTCCAAGCGTTTTGACAAATTGTGGATAGGCTGTCCACTGTCGTCACGTATAGTTTCACTAACACCATGTCTCCTGCTGCACATTTCCCGTATCAGTTGGAATAACTTACGCTGCTTACCAAGGGCGGCGGCCATTTCCATCTGTGCTGCACGATGAGACCACCGGGATTCGCTGTCTCTCTTCAGGCTAGCACGGAGTTTTGCCCGGAGCTGTTTCGTTCGTTTCCAGCCGGAATATACTGGTGAGCATCGGTAAGTTCCAGAGACCGCGGAGAGACCCAACGTCCATGTTGGCGATTAGACTTACCACATGAGGATTTGTCTGTTGCTAGTAAGGTCTGGTGAACATGCGATCAGTGTGCTTCAACTGTATCCAGTGAGCGCTTACTCTACTCCCATGGCAGCGTACTTTGATAGGCATTCAGAACAGCTGGTTTCGCCAGTTGGCTGGTGTCAATGCGCTCACAGCGTCATCGTGGGCATCCGTCAAAACGCATCCGCATGTCAGCACATACAAGTGCATGGTCGGTGTCCACACATGTGCTCCAAATCGAGTGACAGTTCTGGATGCAGCCTCTCCATCGATAACGGATTGTAATGTGATCGGTTTGCGTCCATACCTGGTTCGAAGCTGGTGGGCGCCAAATCACCCTCCGGCGAGTGCTGTGTCGGAAATTAGTGCTCGCAAGAAATAAGCGAGCATCTTCACACAAATGAAGTAACCGCTCACCGTTATCAGTACGGGAGCCTACACCATATTGGCCACCCAGATGCAGTTCATCAATGGACAGTTTTCCAACTTGAACGTTCAGATTCCAGCCAGCACAACAGTGTCCGGGCTTCTTCTGTGGCAAAGGAGCTCGTTCAAATCGCGATAGAAGTCGTCTTTTACCGAATCATCGCTAGAGTTTGTGGGTGCATGTGCAGCGATGAGGAATAGACACCTGTTAGTCACGCGCGACTTCGAAGCTTTGGACGAGCCAGCCAATCGGACCGCACACACCCGGCTACTGATTGGAATCCAGTCAACCGGAGCAGCTTCAACCCTGGGACTCAGAGCAATACCAACTCCTTCTTTGCTGGTACTCGAAGCTACATCGTCACCGGATAGGCGCAGTGAGAAAGTGCTGCTAGTGTCATCTGAAGGGGATCGCAGAGTGAGCACAGAGCTCGAGTCTTGCAGGCGGGTCTCCGATAAGCAGCAGATATCGATCGAGAGGGTCTCTAATGTCCGGGCAAGTGCTGCCTGTTGACCGATCTGTAACACCGTGCGTACAGTGAGGCATGCCAATCTGAAGGAGGATCGAGGGCTCCAAATGCAAGTCGATGAACTAAGCTTGGCCGCTTGGTTGGACATGGGCTTGTTCACATGACAGGAGTGACGCTCCGCGTTTGCATGTGAGTTGAACCTAGAGGATAAACGCCTAGCAAAGCAAGGTGGGGGGGGGGCCAGAATTGGGGGTTGAAAAAGGGGGATAAAAATGAAGCTGGAACGGGACGGTAAGAGAGAAAAAGCGTAAGAGGGGGAATAAGAAGATGGGAAGGTTTAAGCAGTAGCATCCAGACCCCTATACACCCTGCTAGATGCAACAGCTAGGGCACCGTTGATTATCTTCTGCGGTGGCCAGAGCATCAGGAATTTGTTTGCCGAAAAGTTCATAGTATTGCGTGGGCAAGATACTGTCAGGTTGCCCAAGCCTAGACAGGAGAACGATTAGGGTCTTCAACCAAAGCTTTTGCTTCAAAACCTGACCTATAGGCAACGGGTTTAGTGTTGGGCTACAAAGGGTCCGTTTTAAGGAATAAGGAGCCACCTCATTCCAACCCTTAACTTGGAGGACCAGGAGGCTGAGTTTGTCTGGCCTCTAAGCATTGACCAATCTAGTATGAGTGGCTCTGATGGTGCAAAAAAGCCCCACCCAGCATAGCTAAGTGGATCGCTGAGACACAAAAACCATCGCACCACGGTAAAGTCCAGTCTTATTACGACGTTAATTACTACCACTGGATAGAGGCTGTATCACAGGTTTTTTAAATGCACCTTGATCTGAGCCACCGTTTCCTTCCGTATTTCATTTCGCAGGCTCGTCTCGACTATCTCCGTGAACAGTACAGTATTCGGCCCAACGAATTTATCACATTTGATGCGATGAGGAACGCCGCTCAGTGTCTCGGGAGAGCTATCCGCGGAAAGTCGGATTATGGCATCATGGTGCTCGCAGATAAGGTATGTATTTTCCAGTCTCATTGTGTTCTACGTAGCTGAGAATGTGTACTGTGCGAAGCTTTTATCCATGAATATTTCCGTTTGAACCACTTGCCGTGTGGACGCATCGCTTTTGCGCTCCTCGTTACCGTACAATTTCTGCTCTTCGTCTTTCGACAGCACATTCAGCTTAGACTCATACGGACCGCACTAATTTGCTCTCTTTGGGCCCTTTTGCTCCGTATTTCCTAAGGGTCACAGTTCCAGCAATTCTAGCTATCTTAACAGCTTTCGGACCCATACACACGCTTATAAACTTATCGCATTCCGTTTACCTAACTGTTACTGCGCTCGATAAAGCAATCTCCGAACCGCCCAATATACCCAGGTTCGCTCAAATGCGATGTTTTCAACCGCCGCTACGGAACAATTTGTGACCTATTGTTTGTTCATTCGTTCACATTCAACTTCGCGCATATCCCGTTTCACCGACAAACCACTTCCACTGATCGATCGATCAACCAACAAACCTGCCCTAACAGTCGTGTGCGCACGCGTGTAGACGTCTAACACGCGGCCGACACCAAGCAATGTCTCATTGCTGACCCTGGAAGTTGCATCGACTCTCACAGTCTGCACGTGACCAGAAAAGTACAGTCAGCATTTCTAACATGATGCAACACTGCGTGTGCCGCTCAGAGAAATGCGGTAAAATCCTTGAGATGGGGATAATATGTTCAAACTTCCTTGAGGGGCATTTTGAAGTACACGTTATGTGGATGGATTGCGACGCGCAATCTCAATGTTGACCGCGATCCCCATTGAAGTGAACCTTGGTCTTTCGATCACGAGGACCGTAGCTGATGCAAATAAAATTGGGTTTTTCCCGCCCGAAAACCATTCCTTCCTAAGCGCACAGGAAGGTCTATCCAAGAAGTGAGGTAGATAAAATAAATAGCCGATGCATTTTCGTTTTGTCCAACATATCAAATCATTCTAGTTGTCAGCTTTTTGTATGTGACCATGAAGAACTGCGATAGGTTAACTTAGACAATGGTGATCCACTTGAGTTTGTCGAGGGCATTCAATAGTTTAGATCACCGGATTCGCCTTTCTAAGTTCCAGTATTACGGCATCCGTGACCTTCTCTTGAGCTGGATCGTCATCTCCTCATCTGACTTTATACAAGTCGAGTGTGGTGTGCCTCAGTTCTAGGGCCACGATAGATTTTAGTATTTATTAATGATCTTGCACAAAAAATCGCTTCAAGTTTCATACTGTTTGCTGATGACATCAAGATCTGGCACCGGATTCAGGCGGATGCCGATCAGAATTTACTTTAGTGTGGCCTAGATATGGTATATCAGTAGTCAACCCAAAATCTGCTGCAGTTCAACCTGAGCAAGTGCAAGGTATTCTCCGTGCGACACCGGGGTACCTACTCATATAGGCTAAAGACGCAAGTACTGCAGCGATCTTCCGGCAAACACGACCTGAGTGTGCTGGATCAGGATAACTTAGGATATTCTCGGCAATCCGAAAAGGCATCGAAAACTGGTAATTAAAACGTCTGTTGCGACGGGCGTTCGGACAAATATTCACTATTTTCCAACTGATGCTCTGTGCGTATGTTCGCTCCCATGTCGAATACGAAATTCAAGCCTGACAGCCGTGGCTGAAGCACGATCTCACTGCACTGGACCGGCCTCAACATCACTGGAATGCGCAATCTCCAATACGAGCAAATGCTGAAGCGTTTGGGAGCATTCAACGGACGATATCGCCGATTACGGTGAGACCTGATAATGACATATTTGGTTTTACACAATCAACACAAACTTGAGAGGTCATCCCATGTGATGTGGGCCGAACCTACACTCTTGGCAGTCAACCGCTACATCACACCTTCCGTAAAGGGCCTTGGGGATTTGAAGGCCATGGATACCACGGACAGGTTACACCAAAACGGGCTGCGTATGCTTTGGGAACTCAAATGCAGCTTCTGTATCTGGTCCGAGGAGGTTGAAACTCGCCTATTCTTGAATTTAAGACTGATGTTAGAGTACGACTCACCTACCTATTGACCGATCATTCGTAGCGAGGTGTAAGAGATTGAACGTGTCCAACACATCGCTACCAGTATTATCTCCAATTTACGTGGTGTGTCGTACGAAGACCAGTGAGAGATTGGAACCGTACGTCATTTCCTATCACTGGATGCAAGTCGGCCTCATCATAACCTACCGTATCCTACATCTTTGTAACTTTTTCAAGCTGTAACTGCTGCTCCACATAGTGAAAGCGAAATTCAAGACACTGTTTTATATTTAGAGTGCCATACCCACCGACGATGACATCTCACATTTCTGAGCTCTAAGTTGCGATAATTAATAAACATTTACGATGACAGTATTGACAGTTTACAAGTGGTTATTTATCTTTTGATATTTATGATCATATTAATTGACTTGTACAGATTTAGATTTTACTTGCTCCCATAATGCAGTATACAATATGACACACTGCGTATCTGGTCTTGCTGCATGTTTTTCACTTCGTGAAATCTTGTTTTCCATCCGTTGAAGCGCTATGCTCGTGCTGACAAACGGTCGAAACTTCCCGGCTGGATTCAGTCGCAGCTGCACGACGCCTTCGTAAACCTGTCCATCGAAGAAGCTATTCAAGCCTGTCGGCGTTTCTTAAGATTAATGGGACAACCTTTCAACAAAGAAGATCAGCTTGGATTGGCTCTCTTGACACGGGAGCATGTTGCGAAACTAGTCGAAAAAAACCAAGCTTCTTCGATGCGAAGTGGCGATTCGCTGGGGGTTTCTGGCTCATTGAGGATGCCAACAGCTGCGTCGGCTGCTCAATGCACCGTCATACCGAGGGTGATCCCAACTGCAACAAAATTTGATTAGACCTCTGGTATCTGATTTCTGGCCTAACTGTACAGCTTATTTCATGATACGACAATGCATTTTTCTGAGTACCACGTTGCATTTACATTGGTTACTGTGGGACAAGAGTGATCTAGTTTAACATAGACTATTTGGTGTTCGCGTTGTTTTAATTCTTAGGCCTTGATGATCGGATATTGTGAACAAACCGAAAATGCCAGAAGAAAGCAGAATATCACCGGGTCGTGTCGTTCGCTAACGGTCTCGGAGTGCAGTTAACTGCACACACACACACACACACAGCGCCACCACAGCAACGTTAGATGATTCCGGCTAGCGGACTCCTTGCGCGACCTCTCTAATGGCGATTGTAATCCACGAAATATGTTTAAAAAGGGCAGCATATTGCAACTGCTGTCATACCGGGCTGTGACTAGCTGTTTGGTGGTGGGGGTTCCAGATATGAAATCAGTAACTTAACGTTTAACCAGTTAGTTGGTTCGGTTGATCAGTGCACCGATGTACACTGTAACTAATTGGCTCTATTTACATCGCCAAAACAGCACCAATGGTAAGCACTGGTGATAATTCAAGAGGAATAGAGGACAGAATAAATTCGTCGAATGGTATAATTAAGAGTTAGATATAAGAGAACAAGTGCAGCATTGCCGTTGACGCCAAAATGGTGTTATATCTGATAGGGGATCCCACTGTTGAGGTAGATCCAAGTCAACCGATTGCTTTATGCATCTTTGGTGAGTGAATATTCAGCCACAACACGCATGCTCTCAGCAATGTTGCAAGATTTAAATCAATTGTAAAATAATACTATAGAACCGGCTTGATAAAGAATAGACAGTAACGCCATCGGACTGCGAATCGGCTGCTTAGGTCTAGAACGATATATATATATATATATATATATATATATCATCTACTAGGCAGAAGTACAAGGTGATACATGCTCGCACACAAGCTAACCGCTCGTCGGTCACCCCGATATATATATATATATATATATATTCACAGTCTGTTAACAGACATTGTGCCATCAGAACCATGGCAGAAGCAAAAAGGAAAGAAGATAGGAACAAGAACTGCGATAAAAGAATGGGAAACGATTTTTTTGCTTTTACACACGCCATTTTAAATTTTTTGATTTGAGCTTTTGTGTGGATTAAAGGGGGGCATATAATGGCAGAACACAATTGACGCCACTGATGTCTTTTGCAGGCCATGACGTCCAGTGTTTCCAACCACTGCGATTCAGCATCTCGAGGTCCCCAACCTGGAAGACGGACTGGTTCGACTGCCGCCAAACTTGAGGTTGCCTTCTTCATGCTCCTTCTCCACATCATTGGCTGTCCATCGCCCACGTCATTGGCTGTCCACCGCCCAGTAGACGAAGTCGATAGGCATTCAGATAATGCGTTACGAAGAGGATGACTTGTATCGGTCAGTTTCTCAGAACAAGAAACGGGCGGAAACCGCGTGAGCAATGAACGTGTTCGGCGTCGTATATTTGGCGCAGAAAGAATGAGTGAACCGCTCAACATCATATCACACGCCTGACTCCGATGGCTGGGGGACATGTTGCGCATGCCAGCACACCGACTCCCACATCTTGCGTTGTTTGTGCGCCCGGGGTCTGGATGGAAGAAGAGGAGGGGATGCCAAGTGATGACTTGGTCTAGTGGAATGAAGTTCCTCACTTAGAACTTGACGTCGGTTGGTGTGTCCCGACTGTCGGGCTAGGGTCCGAAGGACGTTGAACACGTTTAGTTGGATACACTCGCTGACATAGCGAGGAACCGATCTCAAGGGCGTTTGTGTTGTCTCTTTGTCCCTCCTCTTTACCTTCCCCCTCCAACAACGATCTCAACCCAACACGTAATGTAGTTTTAGCGTTGTATTACTTTTTAGCTGTTGTACTCTCTGTTGCGGCACATTAGCTGGCGTGTGTTTCTCACCCTCGGCTAATGTGTATTGATGATGGTGGTTTTCTCAGGAAAATGTGTGTGCGTTGACAAAAATAGACATCGGAACGCCGCTGCATCGGGATGAGTGCCGTAATGACCTGACAATTAACTTAAGGTAATTACCGGGTAAAATCACGGGAACAGTACGTCCAGTGGAGAAGAACAGAGACACTGACAAAGCAAAGGTTTCACTCACGAGGTACAGCGGAGGCTCTTAGACGAAAGACGTAGAATGACAATCTTACTTTTGAAAGTTTCATCTAGACGAGGAGAACAAAATAAATCATAGTTCTGTACCACACTTGTGTATTTCACTGATGTTTGGCAGAATGTAATCCATCACCATCAGTAAGCAGCTTGGGACACCGTGTAAGGAGCTACTCGTACCTGGCTCCTCTGTGTAGCGAAAAAATATCATGACACTGATGCATCAAGAGACATGACGAACTTTGGACTAAATGTTAAGGTCGTTCAGACGGCCTTGCAACCTGAGTAAGAAATCGCCGGTTCGATACCCAGGACGATGTCGTTGGCATGTTTTAGTAGGGTCGCTTCTTCGAGGGCTGTTGTTGAGCCGACGTAAGTAGAAAAATGACGACAGAATTACTGCTGAGGAACATCGGAGTCGGTGAATGGTGGGGGAGGAGCGACTGCCACTGTGTCGGGTAGTCTGAGTGCGTCCAGTAAAATAATCACTCGGCAGCTGGAAGATGGAGGGATGTATTCCTTGAATGTGTGTATCTTTCAGAAGCAATTCGCTGTTTACACAGCCGAATACATTGCTATTGTCAAGAGAACACGAGTTGGTTTGTTTCTGTTGTCAAGTGATGACAGTACAGTGTATACGAGACAGCCCATCTCATCTAGAGTAGGTCACAAATTGAAAGGGGTCATTCGAGCAAATTTTGGGGCAGCATCATTTCAGGGCTGGTTTTCTCCAGTTTTCAAGGCAATAGAATTGCAAGCTATAGGCTGATTGTAACGCTGCGCGCCATGTTGTTTTAATCACTCCCGGAACCTCAGCGCTCTTCCAGTCGTCGTGACGTGACTGCGGATGCGTGCTCCTGCGTTTGTTTGCTCTCGGCCACTTTCCGGTGTCTGCTTACCAGCAGGTTCTCGATAGGTTTGTCGATATTAGTTCTTACTAGGTGTTTGGGGTTTGACTCCCAGCCACCTACGCTCCCTTAGCTTTCCATTACAGATTTTCCAGTCTATTGCGACCTACACCTGGTGACGAATACGGAAGAACCTATCACCCCGAACCAGACGGATATTAAACCGATATTTAGATTCCGAAGTGAAGGAACACTTACGAAGCTGGGTTCAGCGCGAGGTTACTCAATCTACCCCCGACGATACGTGTTCTTGTCCTCCATAGGTAGGCACATTTTGGCGACTCGTCACCGGGTCAATCCTTTATCGACGTTCCGGATCTTGTTGCGTCATACTAACTCACGTCTTTTGCGATTTGCCGAGGCCGTCGCGATAAGCCGAATTAGACCAACCTTGTGTGTTCAAAAGCAATTAGTTGTCAACGTGCTGTTGCCGTGGTCCTATTCCCAACAACAATAACCACAACCACAAATTTGATTGGCTTGACTGTGCTCTGTAAGACTTATAAAAAGATTTCCCTGTTATTGTATTGGTACTGATGAGATAATACGAAATGCTAGCATCTGCTAATGTTCGTCTTCTCATTTCGTTGTTCAAACTACTGAAATGGACCAACTGAACTGTTTTAAACTGATATTTGTTGGATCCTTTTCTGGCACTAGCATGATACTGACACTTTTGTGTTACTGTATACACACAGACAAAAGAGGCGTTGCCAAAACGTCAGTGCATTCCTTGAATACGGGAGATAGTTTGTTCGGAGCGCTAACTTTATCGGAACGTTGGCGCTTTAGTTAATTATTCACGGTTACACTGTCGACAGGAGGCAATGTGTTCACAGACCCCAGAACTTGGGAATAGGAAGGCTCTGGGACTATAGCAGTTACAAAACTTCTGGTTGAATTCCCCTGCATTCGCTTCGAAACAGGGTGCACATCGAGTAACACCATCAGGCTGTTTCAACATCCACCAGAGTTCGTGACAGCTGTTGTTCTCAAGAATAGACTCTATATACACTTGGTTAAGACGGCGTATGTCCTCCTTGGTACGAACAGCGAGAGGCCTCAATGATATGCCGTCTTTTTTGAACGCTTTCTCCTTAACTCGACGCAACCGCGAACGCAGTGGGAACCTAGAGAGCTTCCCAAGGACAGCAGATGTCAAAACAGAAACTCCAACAGCTAGTGAAATTGTCACAATACTTGGATACGCCATGGTCCAATAATAAACTAAATTGTATGGATGCAACTATTCCACTAAATCGGTCGATATTTTGTGAAGAGCACTGCTCCCACCTGAATAGGAAAAACCCTATGCAATAAGCACCGATTGTGCTATCTTTCGGTGGTACCACTTGGCCTTGTCATTTAATTACAAGAATTTCAACCATATAGACAGTTTGTGAATGATAAACACCTATCGTAATGTCCCTTCTGACACCAAGAGTGAGATGGTACTGTTTCTGATCCCCGGCCAGGCCAAATTCCTGGAATGAAAAAACAGAAATCGCACCACCAAGATTCAATAAGACCGGGGATAGTTACAACGATACAGTTCCGGTGAATAACTATGATCCGAGCACCGAAGTGCGGTGGATCCAGTTGCCACGACTCACATCGTAGGAATAACAATAGCAACATAGTGGGGTTGGATGTAAATAGAATGTAGAGAAAATGAAAGCAAGAAAAAAATATGTTACACTAATCGGAAAGGAACAAAAATTAAGAACCAGATGCAAGAAACCGAAAACGGGTACGCCACTGACTGTGCCATGTCTGATACGGTCTCCAACCATTGGTGTTGGCCATCCCGAGGCCCCTATCTAGGGAGGTGCTACGCACTAATCTGACCAAGTTTCTCATCAGCTTCTATGCCATGTCATGGACTGGCCACCTCGCGGTTTCAGCCAACCTGGTGCGTCCACGTCGTATACTGCACGCCGAGGAAGCCGATTAACAGACTGTTATGATTGAGGAAACGCCGCCTCTTGAGATAATTGCGTAATTGCCTGATAAGAGGGTCGCTGGCACGCCTACG